TCCGTTAATGGCATTAGGGTTTTTAGTTGTTGTGAAGAATCATGTTTCACAATCGATAATCTCCAAGTACTAATATCTCACAACCATAGACATCAAGTACTCGAATTACTCTGAGTGAGTCTAAACTACCACAGTCTTGAGTTTTGGTAAGACTCATCCATAAATCTCGTGGGAGGCTGCCCACCACTACTATTACCTCCAAACATGTCCAACGAAACAGAACCAACTTCCAACGTCAACGGTGGAGAGAGATACATCGCTCTTCTTAAGCTTGTTATCCAATATAATGATTGTTTTACGCGAGTTTTCAAACACATCGCTATCCGATTTCAAATCCTTGGTGCTCCAATTAAACCAAACTCTTGTGATCCAGAACTGAAAATCCAATTCACGAAACAAAATCTTCCCTAATCGCAATCAAAGAAGCCAATGCCCATCGCTTCGTCAATATACAACTCCCGGTGAAACCAATACTATAAATTCCTCGCATCAAACAAGCCACCGAAGAACACAAGTCCCAGATCGTCGAATCGAGAGAAAACAACTTTAATGACTCATCACCTAGGGTTTATAATCACCGTTTCTTAAACAAAAGAATCCTCTAAGCTGCGTTGTTTAGTATTTATATGATTTCATTAGGGTTTATTAAGTAAGTATGTTTTAATAAGCAAATGGGCCGAAATGAAATTCAAAATAAGCCCAAGTCCAAGCAAATAACAAAAACTATTCATAAAATCGTAATGGCATACCAGCGTAATTAAGCAAAGCTTTTAGGGCATGACGGTAATTTCAAGTTTGAAATTGATTCTGGAGCTGTCACCTAGGATCTGCGATTTCCTATTTATAAGTATATATTAGTAAATTACAATTTGCTTTTCAGGTTTTAAAGTGGTCGGACGAGGCTAAATGTGTGTTACTTCAAAAAGTGATCATCACAGAAAACCAAAACCAGGATAACGAAGATATTCATTTAAATGTTCTTCAGAGACAACATGTTCTTCATTATAGCAACAATTGTTTTAAAACTAATTTGAGTTGGAAACACTTGAAAAATCGTTTCCAGTATTTGAAAATGCAATACTGCATATATAAAAAGTGATCATCCAAATGTTTTACATTTTACTCCACTTCTTGATATACTTTTTGTTTTTGGTCGCTCCACTTCCTGATGAACTTTATTTATTAAATCCAAAACATGAAATAATAAAAATGAATGAAATTTATTTCTTCACTTTCGATATTTTTTTTATTAGATTTGTGTCATAATTTCTATTTTTTGCAAAAAAAAATATTTCTAAATAATTATTAAAATAACAATCACAGTTTATACAACTTCCATTACCAAATAGACTTTTAT